ATTCCGATGGCAGGTTTGCAAGGTGCCGTTTGGGAGCGATTCCGTAGTGTGATAAAGCACAACCGCTTGCAGGTCGATGCTGGGTGAGCCCTGGAGCACGAGCAGCAGAAAAAGGCGTCTACTGCAGGACAGACATGACCAAGCTGATGCGTGTCCTGGCCAGGATTTAATGTGGGCGGTTGCACTCAGCCCTCTCACTCCCCCTGCAATTGCAGCTAGACGCCTATTTTAAAGACTTAAAGTGTTTTTTAGTAGGAATTGTCAGACAGTTGCCCCACGCCACCCCAGAGCCAGCTGCATTTCAACCCCAGGTGCAGCTACCCTTGCTCTTTGAGAAAGCAGAAAGCGCAGGTACAGCGTGTGCCCCTCCTGCTGCCATGCACTCAGGCGGATGGGCAGCTCTGTATTATATTAAGAATTTTTAACGGATACAGCTCTAGGCAGGTGTCACCAGCTAAAAAACAGAGTTCCAGGGAGAGCAGGAGGGAGGATGAACGATATCTTCAGCAGCAGGCACAAGGCAGAGGCTTGACACTTCTGTAACAGCAGCAAATTTGTGTGTTGATTGGAGACGTATAACTGTCTTCTCAGGGAGATGGTAACTGGCTGTGGCTCCCTGCCTCTCGTCCAAGCCGAATCATGCTGTGCTCTCAATGCTACACGGTTTTGCTTTTGCAGAGCTGTACTTGGGCAGTGAGGGGGGAGCCCCTGCCATTACATTCCTGCAGTGCTGCAGCTCTGGCACCCCCACTCCTTGGGCAGCTTTTATGCAGAATTAGGAGGAAGGATGGGCTTGTTCACAGTAGGAAAATCCTGTGTCCCTTCCAGACCACTGGACCCATCGGAGACAATGCTGGGGGGATCCAATGTCTATGGCAGCAGTTTTATATATAGCATTACAAAAGACTTGAGTAAACCTGATTTCCAGCACTGTGAGCAGAAGAACACAGGTAAAACAGGTTAAAAAGTGGACTCCAGCCTGGGGACTCATTTCTGGTCTTATGGGAATGACTTCAGCTGCTACCTGGAGTCCCGGCACAGCCAGCGCAGGGTGGGCTGAACAAGGACCTGGCTCTGCTGCCTGCGTGGCCCCACAGACCAGCCCGCACGGGAGCATGGGGTGAACGCACATGCCTTTCCTTTAAAGGCGATACAGCCGCCGACCTCTGCCACCCAGTGGGAGTGACACTGGCAGGAGCTGGCAGTGCCCAGCTGCTCCCCGTTCAGCCCGCACTGGCTGCACAGCCTGGTGCCACCAGCCAGCTCCTCTCCAGTTGGGAGGGTGTGCGGGTGCTGATGCGGGGCTGTGGGTGATGCAGCTGCAAGTGTCAGCTCTCCCACCTCCCCGCCCAGCGCATTGCGATGCCACCCAGCCCCTGGGACTGCCGGCAATTGGGCTGGTTTATAGCCAGACCTGGTGACATCCAGTGAGCCAAGCAGAGCTGGGACAGGACACAAAGACCAGAGCTGTGGGCAGTGGCAACCTTGCGCTACCCTGGAGCAGGGGAACAGCAAGAGCAGAGCTGCTCTTACCCTGCAGCAGGCAGAGGATGCCCCACCTGCCTGCTGGGAGCTGGTTGAGGGTCCAGCTTTGCTTCTGCTTGGTCCCAGTTTAGCCCTCCCTGCTGCAAGCTCCCTTCCCCTGGGAAGCAGGCAAGCTGCGTGCCCTCCGGTGAGCAGCTCTCTGCCTGGCTTCACCATGATTCATCTCTGCACCTCTGCGACTGCAGCACATGAGCATCGCACTCAGGGTGCAATGTGCAGCAGGACCAGCTTCCAGCATGCACGCAACAGCCTCTCTCATCTCCTGGGGCAGGAGGGACTGGCGGGTGTTACAGCTTTGGTACTTTATGTACTTGATAAGCTGTCCCTCCCCGGTGGTGACAGTTCTTCGTTCACTCTATGGTGAGAGACCAACCCTGTGATGGCTCCGTCTCCTGCACAGAAATGTCGGTGGACCCTGGTAGCTGGTTGTCCCCCCACTCTGAGGACAGAGCTGGGTGGCTGAAGTCATGATGCTGCAGAGCGCTCAGGACGCTGAGCCTGAACTGATGCAGATAAGGACCTGGGGTGTGATATTTTATGGAGGGCAGTGTGAAGAGCAGCGGGAGGGATCGATGCTGGTGAACGCAGGGTGTCCTTCGCTCTGCTGGTCCCTGTGCAGGGGGGCACAGAGGTAACGGGCTGGTGGCCAGAGACCTGTCACTGCCACTTCGAGCAGCCCTCGGGAAGGCTCCGCAAAATGTCCTCAAGGTTCTGCTTGTCAGCCCGGATCTCAGCCAAGTCGCTCTCGAACGCCTGGATCTTCTCCTGCTGCCGCGCTGCCTCCTGCTGCAGCAGGCTGAGCTGGCCAGCCAGGGCACCCGGTGCAGCCAGGCGCAGCCACAGCCGCTCCAGCTGCAGGCGGCCCGAGCGCAGGACCGGGACCTGCTCCAGGTTGCCTGGGCAAGGGGAGAGGACATGGATCAGAGGCAGAGAGTCGGGCAGGAGAGGCTCTGACATGCTCCAGGGGCTCAGACCCTCAGCACCAGGCAAAACGGAGGGAGTGGGTGCAGTGGAGCACGGAGGCATTGCGATCGCTTCCCAGTGATCGCAGATAAGCAAATAGGACTGTGGCTCCAGGGAGGGCCTTGGAACGTGTCTCTCTTACAGATGGGTGATGATTTCCACCCCTTTGCAAAACTTCTCGGATGCAGGAGTCCTGGAGTGCTCAGAAATGTACCCAGATGATAAAAGCAGGAGGAGCTGGAGCAAAACCAACTAGCAAGAAGGAGCGAACCCAGCCCAGCACCTCCCTCGGCTCCGAAGGGACTGAGCCCTTGACCCAGCCCGGCTCCTCCTGGAGACGCCAAGGGAGATCAGTGTCCCCACAGCAGGCATGAGCACACACATTCAGCAAGCCCCAATTAATTCTGCACGAGGGCTTTCCTCGAGACATGAGCCCTCAAGAAGCTTTGCTAAGACCCCGAGCAATCTCAGCTGAAGGGCACCCAGCTCAGCCCGGATGGCCAACGAGCAGGAGACTCAGCACCCGTGAGCAGGAGAGCCCCAGACCCCGACAGCCTGGCCATTCCCCGGGAGCCTGCACCCCGCTCCCGCCTGGGTCTCACCTAGGCTGCTCAGCAGGTCGTTCAGAGTCTCGATGTCCGAGATGAGCGAGCCCCGGGCTTCCTGGAGACTTTTTGCCATCTCACTCACCTCTGTCCCCACCTTCCAACACAGACAGACACCCAAATCAGGGACATCATTGACCCATGGCTGGACAGGAGAGGGGAGGTGATCCCAGGAACAGCCCCAAGGGATTCCCTGTGCAGCAGAGCCCAAAAGCTCGGTTGCTCCCTATGCTCTGGGCTGCCTGGCATTCCAGGCTCTGGAGTACACAAACTGCCTGAGGGGACCCGACTCACCTGGTGTGCTTCCTCCAGGTCCTCCCTGAGCTTCTCAGCCACATGCTGCTGCCGGGAGAGCTCCCGCCAGGTATCATTGGCACGCGTGGCAAGCTGGCTGGTGTGCTTGCGGGCCTGCTTGCTCTCCTGCAGCAAAGCCTGTGCCCTCTGCGAAAGAATAGAGATGGGACAGTCACCTGGGGACACGCAGGGGGACCAGGGCTCCCAGGCTGGGGCCCTGGTTGGATGCACCCCGCCAGTCTGCTTGCAGACAAGGGTGGGCTGTGCTGGAGGGGCAGCAGAAGCTGTATTTGGGAGCTCTGCGGCCCTGCCTGCAACAGGCTGGGCTCTGCCTGCGATGGCTGCCAGCCTGGCTGTGCCCCGCAGCGCAGCACGAGCTCCCCGCACCCCACATCCCTCCGCTCGGACCTTGGCACTCTCCCCAGAGACTTGCTCAGCCTCCCCAGCCATCCTCCGGGCTGCGGTGGAGATGGACAAGGAGTTTCCCAGTGTCTTCTCTGCCTGTTTAATCTTCCTCTGGGCCTCCACCATCGCCCTGTCCCGCACAAGTGTCATCCTCCTGCTCAGGGCAGCCTGGCCCTTCCGATGCCCCAGCACCTTCCTCATGTCTGCGGGGACAACCCGGCTGTCACCGAACTGGCCCTTTCTCCCCTTGGCATCCAGAGCCAGCGTGGTGAGAGCCAAGCTGTGGCTGGAGATGCTCTGGCTGGTGCCTTTTACCTTCCAAGCTGGCCAGGAGGGACTCTGCATCAGAGAGCACAGCTTTTCCACGCGAGACGGCCGAGGTGGCCGTGCTGTGGGCAGAGCCAGCCCGGTCCCGCAGCTGGGGAGAGGAGAGCAGGAGTGAGGCTGGGGAGGGGGCGAAGAGCTGCACCCAGCTGGGAAATTGGGACCCAGCCCACTCCCACTTGGCAGGCGAGCTCCTTGGGAGATCTGGGAGCCCGAGGGGAGATGTCTCCCAAAGCATTTGTTCCCAACCCCCTGGCTGCAGGCATGGTCCCTCCAGTTGCTGGAGCAGAGGGGCTGGGACTCACCCACCCCCCTGTGCCCTGGGTGGGAGGCAGGAGAGGGATGCACCCAGCATGCCCACAGCTCTGGCTGGAACAGGGGGCCCCCACCACTTATTTTGCAGGGACACCACATGCAAGCCAGCAGCAATTACCTGCTCGAAGCCACGAGTCCTCTGCAGCTCCTGGCGTAATCTGGCTGCCAGAGCATGGGACGCCTCGATGGCCTGTAGAGCTGATGACTCCTGCACCTCCGCTGCCTGCTCCAGTGCTGCCAGGTCCTGTGCCAGGGCTCCAGCCTGCGCCGGCAGTGCCTGCTGAGGGGTCAGGGATGCCAAAGGCTCCATGAGAGCATCCCCCAGTCCGGGAGGCAGCACTGCCCAATGGATAAAGCTAGGGGTAGGGATGCAAACAGGACCCTTAGCTTGGACGCTGCTCACCTGCCCCAGTGCAGCCACCTGCAGAAGTTTCTTGGCCATGTCTGTGTTTGCCTGCTGCACAGCGGCGAAAGCTCTCCTGGCCTCCACTGCCACCTCCGCCACGCCAGCGCCCAGCTCCTCCTGCGCCTGCTGGATTTCCTCATACCTACGTGGACAGGACACTGCTGTCACCCAGGGCCCTCCGGTCCCTCGAAAGATGGAGATGACAGCTTGAGACCTGGCCCCGGACACAGATGTAGGGGGAAATGCTGGGCGAAAGGGCATGAAACACCCACAGCACAGAGTACCCTGGGTCTCCACTTTGCAACACTATGGTGCGATGAGTTTGACGGGACTCAGTCATTTCCCTGTTGGGCAGGTGCCAAACCACCATGACCGAGTCCTGTAACAGGGACCTGGCCAGAGGCAAGGTGCTGCAGTGCCCTGCCAGCCCCCTCTTGCTGCCAGCCCCCCATTTCTGCCAGCCCCTCACCCGGCCTCCAGCTCACGCTGCACCTCCTGCGTCGCATTCCCCTCCAGCAGGCTCCGCAGGAGCTCGGAGCTGGTGTTGGAGGCACGCAGCGCTCTCCTGACCACCGCCTCCACCTGCGCCATGGCATCCTTGTGGCTGCAGGGACAAGGGCACCCAGAGAGCTAATATTAGGATCGGCCTCCTGGGAAAGGAGCGGCCATCCCACACACCCAGCCGGGCAGGCAGCCTCCTCTGCCTGCGCATGCCAGGATCGGACAGGGTCAGGCTCACATGGACCCTCTGCAAAATGGGGACCGCGAAGCCCAGGCTCAGGGCTCCCACGTCTCCATCCATCACTGCCAGCCATGAGCAGAGAGCCGGGAAGGGAAGGAGGGTCCCAGCACAGCGGCTGTCCTGGCTGATACAGCCCGTGGTGCGGGACTTGCAGGTGTACCTCTCGGCCAGCTCCCGCGCCTCCAGCACCCAGCGGCTCCAGTTTGTGGGCTGCTGAGGGATTTCCTGGGGAATCTCCTTGAAATGCAAACAGCAGCAGTGAGACCCTGGCAGGGACCAGGGAACCCCGGACCCTACCAGCCCAACACCAATGAGAACCTCCCGAAGGGCTGGAGGAGGTTTGCAAACAGGAGCGAGCAAGGGAAATAGCTCCTCTTGACTCAGCTGCAAGGAGGGCTACACCCACGCGGACCCTGGGCTTTCCCACTCACCCGGGGTGCTGGTCACAGCCCACCCCACCAGTCCT